TGGACCTCCTTCTTCAAAGCCTCAAGTTCTACCAAAGCAGAAGCAAGTTTCATAGACTCCTCTGCCTCATTTTTCTTATGAGCCTCGGACTTGGCTTTGTTCGCCGACTCTTCAGCTTGGGAGGCCTTGCCCACGAACTCCCGATTTTTCTTTTGGAGCGTCTTGAAAAAGGCTTCTACCTCTAAGGACATACCAAACGACCTCGATGCTTAAGCTACCATAGTGGCGATGACGTCCACAGTATCGTTTGTTTCAAAGAAGTCCAGCCTTTAAAAGGAACTTGCTGATGGCGACGCACCACTGCCTAGGAAAGTAGGCCCGCTCATCAGGAGAAGGTGACAGAAGCTCGATGTTATAAGGGATCATATATTTGTTTCTAAAGGTGGCCAATTGGGTTGGATCAATACTAGAACGAATTTTGGTTGCCCCCAACCCACACCATCATCACCCCGACGACCTCCCCGATGTCGAGGCGCCTCTACCAGCCTTAACTAACCTCCTAAGATCAATCGTACTAGTTATCCGAACTCCTAGTTCATTAACCACCTCAGTCACATCTATATCATCCCCGGTAGAAACAAAAAAAGCCATAAATGCACAAACAATACCAAAGTTTAAGAAATCAATTACTTACAAGCCAAGAAGGGATTCTTAGAAGCACGAAGTGAACAAGTCGAAAAAAACACTTGGAAATATATTGACACAAGAGATTGCAGAGTTTTCAGAAGGAAACTGAGTGAAGGCTTGAGAATTCTGAAAAGGTAAGAAGCTGAGATTCGTGCAAAGGTGGAAAGAAATTCTCTCAAAGTTTTTCGCCTTTTATAGAGGAGCCCACTCAACCCTGATCGTTGGATCTCAATCCTAATCATCCACCCATTCATTCAGAGGTTTTAATCTGAGTCACCCATAACATCTAAATGTGGCTTGCACGCGCCACCACGCATCTAAATCTCGTTAAGGAACGTGAGAAACAACCATCATTGCCCATTAAATACGACGGCTATTGCGTGTATTGGAAGTTGTACTGCCCCAACTATTTTTCCTGGAAAGGTACCACGACTTCAAATCATTGAGGCTCCATGATTAGGATGCCTCGTATTTCTCAGAATTATTGGAAAAATAACAAACCCTTGTAACTATCAATCCGAGGCTGTGTATAGCATCAGATCTTATCAACCTCTGAACTTATGAAGACACTTTGAAATATAGCTATTTACCTACCAAGTCACCTCAGATAAACTCCCATGAGAGGGTCTACGTAGACCTGGGCGTCTCTCCTTCCAGAGATTACACAACGCTTGAAGTTCATGCATAACATAAATAATCATGCATGGACTTGGGGGACTATTGTTATCCCCCCATATCTGAGGTCCCAATTCGGATGCCACGTAAGCAACAGGTCCACGTGGGGCCAAATGCGCTACAAGTAGTCAACCAGTTAGAAGAAATCCAGTAGGTCGGACACGCCAATGAAGACAAGTAGGCCGAAGTCCTCAACACAATACCCGAAGTTATCGCACGATGCAATGAAGTCTAACCTGAAGCACCTTATCGCAGACGAGGCTCAGGCCCATCCGAAGCCTCCTCAACTCATCCGGGGCTCATGAAGCCGACGCTGTCTCTTATAATAGATTTGAAGATCTATTAGAGGTGATTGATGTAACACTTATAATAAAGTTTGTCAGTATGTCAGTCTATTGTATAGGGCAGCTGACCCTTTATCAATATATTAATTGTATGAATAGACATTGATGTGAAGCCTTAGTTAGGGAGATGATGCAATGTGGTTCCGATCTAACGGTCACTAGTGTGTTGTCGTA